AAAAAAAAAAAAAAAAAAAAAAAAAAAAAAAAAAAAAAAAAAAAAACCACAGAGGTTTGATTTTGTAAATATCCGAAAACCATTATTTGTCAAACGACAAACGACGGACAGTCTCTTGTAACTTGTGATATGTATCTTCGTGCATCAACCAATATATTGTAATACACGATAACGAGTCAACCTTAATACGCATGTGTATTAAATGCTGAATCGTAAAAGCTCCTTGAATCGTACGACTTAATAAATTAAATCTTCCAACGTAACGACAAATTGATCTGATTGTTTTTATATCTCCTTGTGATTTCCTCTTGGGCACTTGTTACATAAGATATCTGCAAATGCATTTTCATGAAAAACATTATACAATCAATCCTGGTAATAAAGCCCATTTGAATGTGAAACATTGGCTTTTTTCTTTTTTCTACTATGAAATTCAAATTTTGTATTTATTAATCACTCAATTTCATGGTTATTTGATAATTCACGACAAATTCATTCAGCTTGTCAATGCCTAAAGCAAAATAAATGATCCAGCTTCAAAGGTGCCATTTTCAAAACTTGATAATCGAGACCAGATGACACGATTTCCCCTTTTTGCACCTGAGCTAAACTGGCAGGGGTCCAAAAACTGCTCTTAAAAACGGCGTAGTGACGGGAAAATCAGAGGAAGGCACCTATATATGTATATTATTCGGGAATCTTGCCAAGAGACCCCCAAAAGTGGTAAGTTTTCCTCTCGTGCACTCCAAGGTAAGCTTTTAATTATAATCGGCATCATTTTTCATCGAGGATCGACAAAATGGGTTACACGAAAAACCCATCGGATCAGCGTATATATATTATATTATTTTTATTTTTTTTTATTTCAACACATGTTACATAAACTGTTTATTCCTTGTAAAATTGCGCTACGACAGTACAGTTATACAAATAGTATTTACAACAACAAAAAAGAAAAAAACAGTAAGAATTAAACTGAATTATGTACAGTACGTGTGGGTGTATCGTCTCACCATCACATACATCCTGATTATTCGAGCGCAATCAAAGTACGCGTATATGTATGTGTACCTATAGTATTCATAATACTGCAGCTGAGATTCTCTATACTGAACACTTTGCGTAAACGCGCCGTTGAGCTCCATTTAACGACAATCGGCAAAAATACTCAACAATCGTACATATAAGATTATGTGCTCGTTGAACGAAATTGTATATAGGTACAACACGAGGATCGGCCGATCTACAGCTCACAGGTGCGAGTTGTCGAAGCCGGGGTTCATCCTCGCGGGTAACCGGGGCAACTCGAGCGTCGACGCCTTACCCTCGTCGTCGACGTAGTTGCGATTGTCGTGGCTCTCGCCGGGCTCCCTCGGCTTCTTCGGAGCCCCGGGCATCATGAACATCGTCGCCAGGAACATCAGCGAACCTGCGCGACATCACACATCGACCAAATACATATAGATAATAATATATGATGGGTGCATATAATAATCAATGGGACATGTATATGGGCTCACTTATTCCGTAGAAACCGGCGTAGAATATGTATAGTGACTCCCTGTAGCCGATGGCTTTGCTGACGGGCTCGACGAGGATCGGCAAGTTACCGCCGATGTTGTTCATCACGAACAGGAAGACGCCGACTGTGGTCGATCTCAGGCTCAAGGGGACGATCTCCACGACGATGGCGAACAGTATGCCGAACCACATTTCAGCTGCACCACCCGAAATATCCATCGTTATCGAGCACACACACACACATATATATGTATAATATTATACTCCGTGGAAAAATAGACGCACCGAAAAAGTATGATATGCCGAGAGTGATCATGGCCCAGGTGGGAGCGAAGTAGACGGAGCCGAAGGCGAAGGGCGTGGCGATGAGTTGGCTGACGACGAGGACGGCGACCCGCGAGCGTATGCCCATCTTGGCGACGAACTTGTCGCTGACGATGCCTCCGACGACGACGCCGATGCTACCGATCACTATCGTCACGGCGAACAACCACCAGCCGAGATCGTAGTCCGGGAAGTACGAGCGGTAGTACAGGTCGCAGTTGTACGCGAAGCACATGCCCCCTGTAATTGTGTGTATATATATATACTGATACTTTGGAGGGAAAAGTTTGGGGGATGTTTTTTGGCTTTACAAAATGATACGGGAGGGAAGAAAAAAAAAAAAAATGTTATTTGTCGTACCGCTGTGCCTGATGCTCGCCGCTATCACCAGAATGATGATCCTAGGCTGGAGCAGCTGCTTCCACTGTGATTTTTTGTTGTCGTTCTTGTCCTCGCCGATCACCCTTCGCTCGGGTTCTTTAAGCGTGGTCGAGGTCAAAAAGGCCATGATCAGCCCGATTATGCCGGCACCGTAGTAACACGCCCTCCAGCCCTGTTACGTCAAATTCCGATCGGATAACCAACAGTTGGTCTCTCTCTCTCTATCTCTTATGGGTAATGTATACATAATTATGTATCGTACCAGTCCCCAAATGTTGAGCTGAGGTATGTACCGGCCGACGGGGAAGGCGATGCCGTAGCCACCGTAGACTCCCCAGTTGAAGATCGACATGACGAGGCCGCGCTTGTCCTCGTCGAACCAATCGGACAGCAAACCGGTCGAGAGCGGGTTACATCCTGCTTCCCTGTATTCACGACAATGGATATTTTTTTTTTTTTTTTTTTTTTTTTTTTTTTCAAACGTTTTTGCCATCTCAATTACAAACAGTGTCCTTCCACCGCCACGAGCGCAATCGCTATCGATCTATCGAACGGAGCTGTTACACGGCGCGTAAAATTATACATGTATGAATTTAATCGGGGATACAATCATCGCGCGTTCCTTCGATTCCGCGGCGTTTGCAATACTACCTAATTACATACCCGTGCGTGTATATATATATATATATATATATATATATATATATATAAGTGTGTGTGCATCGACGCGACGCGCCGTTATTTACAATTGAGATGCCGCGAAGCAACGCGGAACCCGGATTTTACCCATTTATTGGCGCTACCATACAAGTATAATAGCGTTATAAAATCGTCAATGAATTGAAAAAAATATTTACCATCCGATGGGTGCGTGTATTGTCACACGTGATGAGAGTAACACAAGTACTTATACATGTGTAACATTGACTTACCCAGCAGCGGCGAGCATCCGAAGGATAAAGAGTTGCCAGTAATTGGTGACGGCGCCCTGTAGTATCACCGCCACGCCAAAGACCAGCGTGCAAACCGACAGCATTCTCACTCTGCACAGATCAACGAGACATTATTCCTTATCGTACGTGATGATCGAGGACTAAACGTATTGTGCTAGTAACGAGGGACGAGGGAAAAATTTTACGGGATTCCCTCGAAAAATTTCATGTATACGATTAAACGTTGGAGGTCCGTGGGCTACGCGATCGCGGCTGAAAATAGGAGACGGTCGTTCGTTGTTGTACCTCTTGGCCTAAAACAAAGCGTGGGTGGCTCTGCCAGATTGCATTATTATTGTTGTTTTCTCGAGTATCTTGTCAAAGTCCATCCGTAAAGCATCTCTGTACTCTATATATTGTAGGAATTTCGCACAGTTGTCCTTTTTTTTTTTTCTCTCATAATCATTCGAGCGTTTAAATAATGGTGTATTTTCTCACCTGTTGAACCTATCGGCAGCTATGCCGAGAATGACCCCGACGATCGTGAAAACGGCGATGAAACTCGGCCCGGCCAGTATCTGGTAATCCAAGCCCAGGCCATTGTAGTTCCACTCGCAGTAGCGCGTGCCATTCACCTCTAACGACTCGCACCTGCAGTACACGCAAATGAAAGAAAAATGAAAAATAAACAAAAGTTCCTAAATCAATCAAGGATATATATATATATATTCTATATGCTCACACTTCGGAACTGTTGGCAGTGTCGCACTGGATCGGTAGCTCCGTGAGTTCCAACGTACTCGAGTTGAACTGACAGGCTATGTCGCCGTAGTGTAAATCAGTGGCTATCGCTTTGCTCGTCACACCTCGGGTATACAAAGTTGGGAAAATTAAAATTTCGCTGTAATGGCTATTTCATAAAACAATTACATTTCCAATGTCATGTATTAGTTACCGATCAAATAGTGGCCCAATTCGCCTATCACGTATCCCAAGGACACGACGGCCAGGGCGTAAGTTTCGTAAAAGACTTTTGCCTTTTGTACGAACGTGGTGAGCATTTTGAGGCCTGAAAAACACATACCTGTAAATTTAATGACGGAGGAGAAGATGATGTCGAGTATCTCTATTACCATTAGCGGTTGAAAAAAAAAATAATGAAATCAACGCACAAAGAGATCGTAAAACATTTGTATCATCTCTCGCCATTAGGAATCAAAAGTGACGCCAAGTCAACGGGATACAATAACCGATAATTATCTTTACAGATTATCATTAAAAAAAAAAAGCTTACTGGGTCAAGGTTTTGAGAGATTCTTTTTTTTTTTCTAATCAAAGAGACACACTGAATTGTCGAGTTGGAGCAACGAGCTTGGTTTATCGCTTATCCGCGGGGAATCGCTCCCACACTCAATAATCGCGTTGAAAGAGCAAGCCTTTGTGACAAATGTGAGTATAGACACGAGTTGGAAACAAACGTACCTGCGCGTTAGCGCAAAAATCCTCCAAACGACTGTTTGTACCGGCACAATAGACGTAATAGACTCCCCGTGATGTATTACAAAGTTGAACGACCAGGATGTGTGTTTCGTATTTTCTTTTCCTCGTAAATCGAGGAGTAAATATTTTAGCCGCGATCGAGTGATGTACAATGTACGAGACTTTGTTTCTTTTTTTTTTTTTTTTTTTCTTTTCGGAAGTAAAGAAGTAATTTATCAAATCGAGGCAATAAATCATCATGATAAATTAACGTATCGTAGCTAGATCGACGTCTTGGTTACATTGGGAAACTTTTCTAATGGGTTACAAGGGATTACGCGCTGCAAAATCTCGACGAACATTTTAAAACTTTTCAGAGACTTTTGCAAACTTGTAAAATTTTTTTTTTTCAAGCATGTCCTCGTACAAATCTTGCAAAAAGGGATATTTTTTTTAAGTTCGAGTTAATTAATTTCTCGTTTGACCCTCATTTCATCGATACGACGCGTACAGACAAAACCACGAAAAAACCTCTAGGTACAGAAATACCTCGATACCGTACCCTTTTATTGAGCTTCTTCAAGGTTTCCAATGCGTTCTTCGTTTACATTGTTTCATTGTACGTAATCCAATGGTTGTTGAAATAGTCACATTTTTCGCCCAAAAACAGTGTGGATCAAGGAAAAAATATTCTCAATTTTTTGCGAGTAAAGTATATTTGTTGAAAAAAAAATATATATATATATATCAATAGCGTACGCAAGTACCACATCGGATGGCTATAGATACACACGCCGCAGCCTTGAGCCAGAATCATTGAGCCGGAACAATAGTATCATCCCACGACGGCGACGACTAAGCGTTGATCCGCGAGCCGCAACGCGAACAGGTGCCATTGTTCTCCCCCCCCCCTCCACCTGCATCGACTACATGCATCACCTTTATTCCCCCCCCCCCGCACGCATAAATTCGCCACTCGCGCCTAAACAAATAGCAACGACGGATCGAGCGACCCTCTGTAGGTAGGTTTTTCTTGTTTTTTTGCGCGCCAGGAAGCTGGATTTGGGGCTATAAGGATCGAGGCGTTATTAGGTGCAAGGAGAGCGAGCCTCGTTCCTTTGTGCCCTCATGCGTATACGAAGGAGCTTTTGGAGTTGTAGGAAAATAAATCAACGCCCTTGCTGCACCAACTTATACCGGCGAAACATCTCTTTCGGACTCGAGGGAAGAAAACTATCTATACCAATGAAAAGGAATCGGCTCAAATTGGAAGGTAAAAGAATATAGGGAGCCGGGTTGCGTATGTAGAGGTATTGCACGCGAAAGGGAGAGTACGAGGTGGAGAGGCGCAAAGTTCACGGACGAGGGTAACGCACGTGTATGCGTGTGTATATATATATATATATAGACGTGGCTGCCCAGGTATATGTACACGAGAGGAGGAGGAGGAAGGTGAGAAAGAGAGACGGCGGAGACAAGGTCGCGGCTGCAACTTGCGATTATTCTTTCAGCGCGGCGACGTTTAATCGCGCGTGTGCGTGTGTGTGTTGCATGTCGAAGGCTCGCACCGATAGCTTCCTTGCCGGTATCGCGGCTCTTGGATCCTTATCTCGGTCGAGATGTGGCTTTTTTTTTTTTATCTCGCGGATTAGAAGCCAAGTGAAACGGGGAGGTGTCGCGAATTCAAAAGAATGTGTCTGATGGTGTCGAGTGTCGATGCCAAACGGAGAAATATATATTTCCGCAGAAAAAGGGTTACGAACAAGGCCAAGGTCGATTTGTATGCGCCACTGTCGATCTCCGCGTGTATATCCTTTGATCTTCGACGAGGCTTGGGCGTGGTGTGCTTGCGACGACGAGCGACGGTTAATTAGCTCGTGGCGACCGTGCACTTTTTGAATCGTATTTGACTTTCACTTGTTGCCTCACTCGAGTGATTCGGCCTTCGGTGTGTTGTACGTATATACTCGCATTGGTCGCACTCGCGACATAACGTGTAAATGAGCACTGAAACGGAATGCAGGAGGAATAAATAAATTAAATAAAATGTAGATCGGAGCATCAGGCGCGCCGATAATGCGAGTGCAAAGAAGAAACATCGCGTGCGTAAGGTTTGGCGTCTCGTGTGCACATTGGAAGGTCACCGACTCGCTGATGATACAGGAGAACCGATGAGTTGCAAGTTTTTTTTTTCTTTTTTCATTGTAAGTTTATTGTATCCTCTTGGGTTGACGGTCCCGTCGATCTGTCGCTTCGATGTGGAAACACGCGTTGCATCTCCCACAGAGACGGGGAAAGAGCTTTAACGAGGTCCCGATCCGTCTGACCATAATTGACTCGATCTACTGATTTTTTTTTTTTCCTACCTTCCTTCCTCTCCCGTTCGTTCGTGCAACGAAATAAGCTTTTCTCGAGGCGATTAATCGCTTGATGGTATTTGCATGAAATAGAATATAAACAATAAAGAAAATTAAAAAAAAAAAAAAAAAAAAAAACAAACAAACAAACAAACAAACAAACGTGGGTGTCTCGGTATATAAAAACGTTAAAATGAAAAGAAAAAATGTATGGCTGACTCTGCTAAAATCCCATACGATGAGGGAAACAAGGTTGATGTAGCCTACATATGTGCACAGTGTCATATTCTCCTATTTGCTCGTAGGAAGATGACGGACGGCGGCAAACACGCGCGTCATCGTCGCACAACAGGGACAACCGGCTCGTCCGATAGTTTCGGTTGGTAATTGCAACCCGAGCCAGCGAGCGGCCGAAGTAACGAGGTCACGACCTTTCCCCCCCTCCCCACTTTCGATTCTTGATTCGTACACCGATGCAATCGCGATTACTTTTTTTTTTTTTTTTTTTTTCCATCTACCGTTCAATTTCCCGCGACGAGTCGCATTTCCGAGGAATCACTCGCGCTCACGGATAACAATTAGCGCACGTACTTGCACCTTTGATCATCCTTACTCTAAGCATATTATTATTATCATTATTATTAAGATTACAATTACGTTGAATCTATATTTCTTGGCGCGAAACGCACAGTAGAAAGCACTATGCGTCTTGTGACTGCTTATCGGCTCTCAAAGTATCGAGTATGGAAAAAAAAAAAAAAAAAATGGTACCACAAAGGTAAAGTCCGCCTGGCCGCGAAAGTACACGCGTTGAAATGCCAATCTCGCATTACTTGTTCAGCGGGAGCGTGTAAACTCTGACCACTGCATTCCTCCACTATCTGATTATCCAAGCGACCGCACGTATACTCAAAGATCTGTTCTCAAAAGCTCCTATACGTGTACACGCATATAGGGAACAGTATAACGAAAAAACGAAACATTGTGCAGTCCATCGGTATGATTTGTACCATGTTACACGGCACGCGCTCGTGAGATAAGGAGCTATAGCCTATTAATTACCCTTAACGAGCCGTGGGAGCATATAAGCGAGTGATGGATTGCCGTACCCAATTGGCTCCGAGTTGATATCTACATGTGGCACATCGTGAATTACCGATCTCGAGAAATCACCGATGCGCGCGATGATTGTTTAATCGTTCACCTGTTTCGTGAAGCCCCCCCCCCCCCCGTTCTAATACGTGTGTACTTACATGATGCCTCGTTTTGCGAATTGTCTTCCCAGAAATCGTGGGTAAATGGCACGTTGTATCGTCATGTGTAAATATACGCGCGGGTGGTTTGCAATCAATTCTGATCTCATTAAGAGCAGTGATACCGATACCCGTATGTGTATACGTACATAGGCTCGACAAAGAGAGAGAGGCGAATAATTTTATGCTAATCGACGCTCTGATTATTTATGAGAGCGGTATTACGTTACTGCTACTGAGAGCAAGTGTTGTACTTTTGTTAGCGTTAGGAAAAAAAAAAAAAAAATACACGAGCACCTGGTAATTTTCAATGATAATAACATGGTTGTTTTTTTTACCGCAAGCATGAATTTTATTCGTTTGTGTGACAAATATTCGATGATTATTTTTTTCTCTTACAAATTATAAATAAAAATTATTAGTTTATTCATTCAACATGGTGTGATTAATATGTTTATGTTGCGAATCGTTGTGCAAGTCCTTTGAAAATAATTTCCTATCCATAAATCATAAAATCAAAGTCGTAAACTGGGAATGAGATCTCCATTTTTTTCATTTGTTTAGTCATCTTGGTTTTCCATTTTTTTTTTTTTTATTATTCACATTTCAAATGGTTTCACGAAAAAAAAAAAAAAAAAGAGCTGCACAACTGATGATGTATACCAGAAGCAGTTATTTAATTTCATACAAGCACGGATGCCAGTACAAAATATACTCAGAAACCAAAGGCTCCATTGGAATTGCGAAGAGAAAGACTTAACGGGCGTTAATGTCAAGGCAAAACGCGCGTTACTTGTACACGTGTGTTGTAAGTAAGTATAACGTGCTATATCCTGTTTTTCCCTGTACGTACAGACATTCCTTTTATGTGATTAAATTAAAAAAAAATAAATAAAAAATAAAAGTACTAAAACAACTGTCTGTTTATGTAAATTCCATTGTAGAGTTTTTACAGTTTACGAGTACAAAGTTACATTCTATGCATTTTTTTAAATCTCCAATGACTCCAACTAATAGAATATCGATGGCATGCGGCAGCGCGAAAAAAAAAAAAACATTCAAATACCATTGCACGTGGTCCCTCAATTGGCCCGAGAAGATTGAAAAGAAGAAGATGAAAAATACTAATTTGCAAGGAAATTGAGTAAAAGAAAAAAAAAAAAAGTAACAAAAGGATCTTCTTGGAAGCGGACACAGTCGGTTGAGCTTCGTAACAACACCTTGTGCAGAGTCTGGAGTCGATTCTTATCAGATTCCAATCGACAGCGACGACGACGATGTTCAATCACATAATAAGTGTATATATGTGTACATGTGCAGATCATATATATATATATACATCGCGAGGGTGGTCGTCTCAAGATCATTTATCGCGCTGTATACGTATAAGTATGCACTGTTTTGACTAATTATGCGTACCATATACATTCCGCACTACCTACTTATTTATATGTTCTGTGGAAAAAAAAACTTGCTTTTATTTGTTAATGAGCTTACGATGTTAGATATCCGATAGATAATTTTCTCGCTACCTTTTTTTTTTTTTTTTTTTTTTTTCAAGAGAATAAAAAAAATAAAATCGCTATTTCGCACTATTAGTGCGCTGTGAAACCATTGTTGGGGCTAGTGAGGTAAATTAAAACCACACGTATGTTCCACTGCAAAATCAATATAAGGAGGAATTTCGTGCATCGTGGAGTCATTTCTACGAAGAAACTGTAACAGAAAAATTGAACAAAAATGTCACACTCGGCGCGCAACCATATCGACAGAAGTACTTATGCGCTCTTGGATATATGAGATCTTATTCGCAGTCGACGTAATTTTTCGTTCTAGCTTTGATCTTCTCGCGCCGAAAACAAAAAAACATGTCAAGATCAAACAATAGAAATACATACTACGTATATACATGTATATATATATATGCAGGACGTGGACGGTAATCCGCAATGAAATTGACGATAAATTCCGAGAACGTGGACACAAAGTGCAATTCGAGGAAGTAAAGATTTATGCGACGAGCGGGCTATTGTAATGATGAGCGCTCTCGGACGTTTTAATTGAAAAATCTCGTAGAAGCTCGAGTTCTCTATACCGTCTTGTTGGTCAACACAAAAAAAAATGTGTCTCGTCACTGCAGTACTGCGAAAATTAATCTATCCCAACGAGCTCTTTGCCATACTTCCATACACATGGATTTTTTTTTTTTTTTTTTAGATTTTTTAATTTCATAAGATATATTCCCAAAGGATTAACACGGAGCGAGTAACAATGAGGCTATATAATTTTTTTCGGACATGAACATTGATATTAATAAACTGCACATTTTTCTTGTTTTTATCCTCCACATTTATCGTTTAAACTGCGGCAAATTTTTCCTTTATTTAAACATTTATTTGTTTAGTTCAGGATTTAATTTTAAAAATACTCTAAAAGAAAGTGTTATCTTTAATAAAATGCGTTCTTTTTGCTAAAAAAAAATTTTTTTAATCTCCATGCACGGTACAATACTGAGAAAAAAAAATTTTTCAGGACAAAAGTGCCATGCATTTTTTATGTTGAAGGTTATTCTAAAGTATTTTAAATAAAATATTGAAATACTGAAACTCTTTATTTTCCGAAATGGTTTTTTCTCTCAAATCGCTATGCATTTTAAAATTTTTTAATTTGCATTGCACTATAAATACCACATTTAAACATAACGTTTTTAGTACAAATAATGCATTGAATTTTTACCAAACAACCACATCGCAAAAAAATTAAATGAGTATCCGGTACCCAGTCTATTAATCAGCATGATACACCTACATACTTCCTGTTACAAATTTTTTTCTTAATTATTTATATCGTATTATACATTTGGTCAGAGTATTGGTACATAGTTCTAAAAAACGCACAGCATCTAAAAAAAAACGAGGAAAAAATAATAGACATAAAAAATAAATTTTAACAATAAGAACAAGGAGCAAGAGAATAAAAAAAAAAAAAAAAAAAATTGTATTCTAAGTATCTCACTATTGTCATTAATACACCGGGATAAGCAAACCACAAAACCAGTTGGCAAACAAAACAGTTTGTCCCTCCCGAAATGTCGATTATAGCCACAGAAGTCAATGCAATTACTCGTGTGACACGCCGTGACTGCAGTACGTCAAACACGTATATATATACGTTTCGCCATACAATCCTCGTACGCACGCGTTAGTACACACCGAATCGTCGCGATGATCCAGCTGTCCATCAAAATATACATAAAATCTCGATTGTACTGCAATTAATCTCTATGAGAGAAAAAAAAATTCCGCAAAAATACTTGATAATTGTTTTGTACACACCTTCGTCTCTGACGCGATTTATTTTATTTTTGCTGATTAAAAAAAAAAAATTGAAAATCAACGCAATGTCGATCGAAGGAGGTGAAGAAAACGTGGGCGTGTTCGCTTCAGGATGTGATAAAAAATGCACAAGGAAAAACTCCTTTTGCGAGTTAATTCTTATACTTCTACATATACGTACACTCGCGAGTGGCAACGTGCCCCGCACTCGATCGTTTGCATAATACTTACGTTGTTATTGACTATTATTACTTGTTGGCTCGTTACATCCGTATACGGTGTTAACGATTTTTACATGATTTTTTTCTTCCCTACATTGATTTATCGCACTGCGTGCAATTTTCGAATGGTTTATTGCGCCGTTTGATTGTTTAAATTTTTACGAGTTTTTTATTATTTTTTTTATTTTTTTTTATTTTTTTTCTGTAGTCATCGCTTTTTGTACAATCAAAAGAATTTGAGGACTAATTATCACGAATGAGTAAATAAATGAACAAGAAAAAACTATACCTAATAGAGAAGGTTGAGTATACTAATCGATTTTTTACGCTGGAATTCCCGGGGATATTTATGTAATTATCAACGTACATTTAGAAAAGACCGTTGTAGGCGAGGTTGGTCGTCCGTTTGTATACACACACACACACACTATCGCGATTTGCATTTTCATCATTGCTTCGGATTTGTTTGTTAATTTATATAATATTCATGATTAATTTTGCTTGAGCAAACTAACGCAACGGCGCGAAGCTGCGGCAATCGTAAAAATTCCACAAACCGCACATCTACATGTAATACCCTCGTATTATTACAAGGTGGTATAAATTAATCCAGCTTCGCATAAATTTCTCGTATACGCGCGTTTAATAATTTATTTACAGATGAACAAAGTGTGAATCTTTTTTTTTTTTTACTATTTTCGTCCTCTGGTTTAAATGTAGATAAAGTAAAATTTTTAGCTTGACTTTTTCACAACTGGTTAGTTTTTTATGGCATCCCACCCACATTGTATCCTCGTGAAAAAGCAATCGAAAGATATTCCTCGCGTTCACTGTTATGACACGTTCTTCGCATAAAGAGATCCTAGCTAGCATTGCCCAATTGCCAGCTGCATTACTGCACTTTTAACATATTTCGTAATTTCCGCCGAGCCTCTTTAAATAAAAGCTTTATTTGGTTTGCTAAGGAGATTATTCTCTTTTTTTTTCATAAAAATCGAGAGATTACTCGTAAAAAATGGAATTATTGGGTACACGTTCCCTCGAGCGATAAATTTTCATGAGATTCTCCGGTGAAAAGTACGCGTTGAAAACTTTTCATCCAATCACTTGAAAAAAAAAAAAAAAAAAAAAAAATGAACTCATCTCGGAATTACATTGCGCATTACACACTTGATAAAATAATGTATGCGTGACTCGTATAGATGATCGCGCAACTGTACAGCGTCGCGTCCATCGGACGGCACAGTGCTCCCCGAGAAATTATTCTGTTCCCCCGACTAATAACCATATCGGAATCACTCGCGTGTCACTTTATTCCCATACAGTTATCTCTCGCTGCATCTCTCCTATATAGCCAGTGTATGTATAATTAAAACCTCGGACTCGCCGTAATGACCAGCACAATCGTAAACTTTTTTTTTTTTTTTCACGCATAAATCCACGCACGTGGACTCGTGCCTTATTCATCACTTCGGATCGAGTATATAACGATGTTCTTTTTACTTCTTTTCCTCCCAACATTTAGCTTCATTGGCCAATCGCCGCGTTATACTACTGTATAATTAATCGATGCTATTTCGTATGCTGGATCTAACGTATCATAACAAGCCGTTACGGAGAATCGGCGTGGTCGGCTATTTTTACATCGCGTCTAATATACACATCGTTTGCATGAAAAGTGACGGTAATAATTTTATATTTTTTTTTCTTCTCGCCTTTGATTGTTTTTCCAACAGGTTAGCCTATTAACGTCCACGCCGTACGTTGTATTGTGAAATAAAAGGGGAATTTACCCTGCGATTAAATTTTTTTTTTTTTTTTTTTAATCACAGGTATCACTTGTACTCACTGACAACGTACATTACTTGTTTATTGTTTTACTCAAAGTTGGCGTTACACCTATACTCGATCGTCCCATTAGCTGATTATACAGACGCAAATAGCGGTAGATTCAAAACAAACTTGAATAAATACCATATTGGCGTTTCGTAAGAAAATTGCGGAATCCACAGGAAAATGTGTATTTTCCTTTTTCCATCCATCCGAAGACGAGGAAAATTACGCGCGCATGCACGTGGAATTACAATTTCCGCGAACAGGTGAAACAAATGAGGAGAAATTTTTTAACGCGATCGTATCGCTCTCAGCACGACAGACGCTCCTGCATTGTATACGTGCAATTTGTCATTGCCGTGTCGTCAACTCCTCGGCAACAGTGTATCTCGATTCTTTTTTTTTTTTTTTTTTACCCAACCGTACGGTAATCCACTATGATCGTATGCATAGCCCCTGGGTGGGAATTCAAAATAATTTTCACTTATGAAAAAGTGAAAGAAAAAAGGGGGAAAAAACAACAAGACACGTGCAAGCATCACCCCTTAGTCCGACCCCGAAAAAAAAAAAAAAAAAATCAGACTCACCGTTATAGTTTCACCCGGGGGTTGTTCCTCCGCAAGCCTCTTCTGCACACTCGACCTCTTCGGAGCACGGCTACACAGGGCCGATGAAATTATACCCGTATCACCATATAATTATATGAACGCCGAAACAGTCGACAGCCCGACCGGTGTCGCGTGAAAAATCGGTCTCGCGCACCCTCCCTAGGAGGATCGAGCCAAGACTCGACTCGCCGTCCGATTCGCGTTTATATAAGGAAAGCCGCTCTCGCGCGTGTTTGTGCGTGATATGAAAATAATCCTTTTGCCTCCGCGAGTATATGTATCTCGCGAGCGCCAAGGAGGAGGAAGTCGCGCTGGCGGTGGTAACGGCAGTGGGGGTGGGGGGCAGCGGTCAAGTGGGAGAGCGCCGATCCCTCGAGAGAGAAAAAAAAAATAAATAAAAGAGAGAAAGATCGTTTGATGTATAATCACTTACACATAAGTGCGTACCTTTAACAGGTTGCCAAGGTCGCCCTGCTCCATACCTATACTTAACTCGTGCTGACCCATAATATTATATGCTAGTGGGAGAGCTGTACTAGTGACTTGCCTTTGGGCATCCTTTGTTTGTTTTGTCTCGAATTACTTTCTTTTTTTTTTTTTTTTTTTTTTTTTTTTTTTTTTTTTTTTTTTTNAGAGTCGAGCTTTTTTTCTTGGGATTATTAACGAATAACAAAAGACAACATCCCCCCCCCTCCCCATATACTCGCTCTCTAATCGATATATCCACAAAGGCAACAACGGTGCGATTACCTTTTTTTGTTTTTTTACTCAATGGAGGCACTATGGCTCTTTCGCACTTATACCTAATTCCACTCTTCGGGACACGCCGGGCGTAGATCAACACACAATTAATTGCCTCTAAACAGTCGCGCAGATTACCTTTTTTGCTAGTTAATCTCCTCGCCTCCGAGATTTATAGAGAGATTTTACTCACGCAAACGCGAAAGATCAGTTGTTTCTTTTATTTTTTACGTTTAAAAAACCATTTTGCTGGGGCCGATGACAAAAGAGGCGTGTGCATCACTTGAAGCAAAGGAAAAAAAAAAAAAAAAAAAAAATGCAAGAAGCTGCGTTTTTATAAAGGCGCGCGAGGTTGCGCCTGAGGTTTTTCCATTAGCCATCGAGTATTGTACTTATGCGTATACGGGTGAGGCTCTCTGGGCCACTCCACGACTTATTCTTCACGTAACCGCTTCGAATGAATAAACGGCGAACAAAAATGCGGCATTAATATTAACGTCGCTCGCGTTTTACTGCGGACCTGGACGTTTGTGGCTGTGGTTCTCCATATTCGTAGGGTATATGTAATTTTCAGTCAAAGCCACGAAGTATTTGCCAACAAAATCTTTTTGCGTCCGAAGAGAGAAAAAAAACAAAAATAATAACAATCATCATAAAATAAAAAAAGAGCCCGCAAAATACAGAGTTCGCGCATCCGTGCGCTCCACTTCAGCGGCGCGTATAACTTTCTCGGAAGTCGGTCAACGGTACATAAGCAGCACCGGGGCAGGTCTGTGTGTGTGTGTGTATTTATATTGTATTAGGTACGTACACCCACGCGGTGGTATCCGGAATTCGAAAGCTCCTCTCAAGGGGACTCCTAGCGATGGACGAAGGGATTCGCTGTACAAAACATCAATTGCGAAGCAAAATTAAAAAAAAAAAAAAAAAATGCACCCAACTTTGATCGCAGGGAACGTAATCGCAAAAGTTTGTCGAATAAATTACTGTCCGTCATACCGATTGATTGCCTTTTCCATAATCTCTTCGTGTTTCCTTGGACATTTCTTTTTACTTGCTCTATTGCGCCTTGTTTTCACTAAAAAAACATTGTGTTAACTGTACAATCACCATGTATTTCTGAAACCCATGTGGTATGCGTGTAAAAATATTATTTATCAGTCGGTAGGTGTATGGACTATCTGTGGGAAATGATGGCACAACCAAATAAAACAACAGCCACGATGTAAAACGTATAAAAAAAGGCGAAACCTCGTTATTCAGCAAATTAGCGCCTAAGATATACTTGTACGCACTCAGACGTATATATGTATGGGTGACATCTGCGTATACTTACATCCAAAGTTGATTCGATTAAGACAGTCACCTCGAAGCCTCCCACGCGTCGGCCCGAACGATCTGTCTCCCAATCTCTACAGCACAAAGGGACAATGGCTCCGAATTTTTTGTAATTTGCGAAAAATCGGGACCGAGGAATCTTCCTCTTTGTCCTCGGTGAACAAAGGAAAAGTGGCGTTTTTAGGGTCCTTTTTGTCCCGAGACATCCCCCCCCCCCATCCATCCCTGCGGTGACTCTAAAGCTCGTTCCGCGGGGGACGGTTGATCGGACTTTAACGCGAGTTCCAAGCTTATTTACATACATCGAGGGAGGGAGTGTTGGATATTTTACCCAATACAGGGGCACGACGTTCACGTGGCGATGTCGTGTCCGACGGTGAAAATCAATGCTTCCAGTGCCCTTCCGTGTACTCATCGCGATTGTTGTTACTCGATAAAAGTAGTCCCCCCGGGCCAAAGGTCGGCGTTGACATTATCTCGCGCCGAGCGAACGCCGATACCTGCGTTTCAATTTTCAAATCCAATTACTCCGTAAGAACAGGAGTATAATATGTGGGAGTTATACTCGAGCGATGAATCAGTGATGTTTCAATTCAGCCCTAGTCTCATGTACCTACCAGTGTAGCTCGAGGGGGTGAGGAAGGAAAAAAAAAAAAAAAAATACGCGAAGCAGATAAACCATTCGGTTCGTCGGTAATTTCGGGGTACTTTGGGCCCTTTCTGCGCTTTGCGAATGTGCGAAGCATCTCCGAACGGGAAGAAAAGGAAAAGGCTGAATCATTTCACCGGCGAAAAGTCATCTCGCGGCGCCTCTCTGCTACACTACATGTATATTAATACGCTCGTTAAAGAGAGAGAAGAAAAATAAGTACCGTGAACAACGATGTTTCTCTTTGGTGGAGTATTCGTAGCTTTTTTTTTTTTATTGCCTTTGCAGTTTTCTCCTTCCTGATCCACGCGAGTGCGAGTGTTTGAAACAGTGTATGAAATTGAGAGAGAGAGAGAGAGAGAGAGAGATGAGGATTCGATCGAGTGCTCAGCGTTTCCCCGAATCGACTGGGGCAACTTTGGCCGAGATAATTTAGTCGCTTTACGACAATTACAATAATATATCGTCGTCCATTTTTCCTTACCCGATTTCCTGTGCCTTTTACTTTTTGTCATCCACATAGGGTCCTCTTTATGAAGTTTGCAATGCATCCGAACCGATTGGTGCATCGTTGACATAAGAGCAAAACTTTATCCGTACAAAAAGATTACAAGTTGCTTCCACCATCTGGAAAATACACAGTTCCCTTTAGTAATTAGTGACCCTAGATGAGAGATGTACGTATACGTTTGACACGGTAAAATAAAGATAAAAACGACAGATCCAATCGGCCATCGCGTCAACCGGTATCCCCTTGTATATAGGTGCCATTTGGTTTACGGAGAACTCGAGCTTTGATTGGTTGAATCAAACCTGCTCTGTGTATATCCGTGGACGGGATTGGCACCCCTCTGGTGTCGTTGTGCAATTAGTTAAGAGAGTCCGGCGTTGGATGGATGTACAAATCAATCGGTGCGAGAAGCCAGCCCTGCGTTTAATCGGCACTATACCGTCAAATTGGAGACGACCAAGTTGGGAGGCTCGGGCGAATGGAGTCAATCACTGAAATAACGTAAGCCCGACACTCGCCGATATCGTTGGAAAAGAGCACGTGGCACCGAATGAAACGCTCCTTTTTTTTTTCTTTGCATGATATCGACGCACATTTACACGCCATACAATAAGAGCTGTATCGAGATGGCGCGTTTACGCTCGGGCGTGTGTTTTGTGCGGCACTTGCATTGATTGCGAGCAAATGTCATACAAGAGAGTCGCTGTACCACGAGGTACGAGTATACATAGGTATGCATGAGTAGGGGACAAAGCGAGTGTGCGTACATACATGTAGATGCGAGAGAGAAATGTCTGATGGTCGTGTATACATAGGATGGATACGAGAATCGGAGCGCGGATTGGCGTGAGATTGCATTTTCCTTGCTGTATCTATACGGAAAATTTATATTGTGCACTTTGTGCGTGAACGCTCAAAGGAAGTTATTCACTTGTTGCTCCGACAATGTCATTTCGCGTTTCGACAGGTATTCGACAATTTTTTTTTTTACATTTTTTCTCATAGAAAAACAAATGTATACGGGGGGAAAAAAAAATCACCACTATCGGATTTTATGAATAAAACAATACCGAATGGGTTTACCATTGTGCTTTGGATCGAGTCCACAAAAACAGCCGGGCTCTATATAGCGCAGTGCAGAGTCGAGCTACACCTATTATTCTCAATCTCCGTACACACACTCCCGCCTCTATACACGTGACGAGAGCGATGTAAAAAGTTTTACAAATGTTTTTTTTTTTTTTTTTTTTTTTTTTTTTCTCTCATCGAAGGAATCGTTGTAAGCTTTAATGAAATACAATTCTTAATATACAAAAATCGAGAAAGAAAAATCTACGAGCCGGAAGGAAAAAAAGTTGAAATAATGCCTGTGCAATATACGTGTACTACAGGCGGGTATACGTGTACGGGCAAAAAGTCATAAAGCTTTATCTCTCGTGTAAAAGTTACGTAAAGCGTTATGGGGCGCGTATAATCGCAGTCAACAACGACGACTACGACTTCCCCTGCCCGTTGTAATGAAAAAGAGAAGAAGCTATAGAAGGAAGAAAATGATGTCTGCACCAGTGTGGAGCTTAACGCTCGATCGGCCAGAGCCAACGACCCCCCGACCATTCGACGGTTGCTTTTTCCGGGATCCTAACTCCTGTATACGCGTGACAACACGACAATGGCTGTCTTGTCGCATCGAAACGCATTGTTCGGTCGCCGATCGAATTTTATATAAAATCGCAAAGAAAAAAAAAAGGTATCAATTATCCGAAGAAAATTACAAACTAGTGGCATAAGTTCCAGCTAATTCCGACAGTGGGGGCTATTATTCCCGTGAAAACTCGAAGAGACAAACATCAACATCATCGTACGTGTAGAGAAGAAGAAGAGTCGCGGGTGCAAATGTTGGGTCTCACGTGTATATACACAGACATTTGGGTTAACGTATGGTATAGACAGGCGTGGGGTGTATACATCGGACGCGAGAGGACAAGTATACA